ATAGGCAATGGAAACTCAAATTTAGGCAGTATGGACCAGAGTAGGACAGGAACACAAACCCCTTCCAGTTTGAAATAACAGGAATCTTTATATGGAGGACTTTGTTTCCTTTCTCAAGAAGATAGGACAAGCGTCTCCATTTTGGTTTCCAGCATGTCAGGAGCAAAAAAAAAAACTTTTTTAGTTTTATTTAGCCTTAACTCTGCAGAAAAGAGAAGCAGCATGAGTGCATCCCTGTGGCAGAGTGCTTCCCCAGCGATTTCCCCTGTGCCAGGGCTGCTGGTGGCTGATTGCATCCCAGGAAAACTGGCTGGACCAGGAATMCCTGGCTGCTGCAGGAATCCCTGTGTGCTCTGCCAGCCAGCTCATTAACATGATGCTGCACTTAAGATAATAAGACTTGGCTGACCTAAATGGCTTGGCCCAGAGCCACTGCAGGGATGTTTGTAGCTGTGGTGTGCTTCACCCACAAGCCTGGATAATCCAGCTGCAGACAATGGACCATGTCTGCTGTAATTGAGCACTCCAAGGCCTTTGGAGCCAGTTCTTTCCAAGATGTGTAAGCTGCTTCTCTGTTTCATCTCCACCCTTATCTGCTGGATTCACATATGTAAATTTACATGAATATTTGTATGCCTATACATTAATGTTKAGCTTGGGAATGGAATCTGTAAGCGAGGCAGCAGAGTAACTCTTTGAAGATGCAAGCAACAGTTAACATTTTCTAGGAAAACCTGCTTAGCCATTTTACCTGTGAGACAAGGAGTAACCTCTTTAGCTGGCTGTCCTGCTTCTTCTCAAACAGTTCTGCTTGGAAAGCGAAACTGAGTATAAAGCTGGCCCTGAGGGGTTCAGGGCAGTAGTGCTCTGTGGCTCAGGGTGGGAGCCCTGCAGTGCCATTCCTGCTCTCCTTGGAGCAGCTCAGAGAGCCCAAAAGCAGAAACCTTTGTAATGCTGAGGATTCAGATAAAACCACCGTGTTCATAAAAACAAAACAAAAAAAAAACCAAGCAACACCAACACCAGGAAAGGTGAGACTTAACAAAGTGAATACAGTGGATAGGCCTACTGGGCTGTACAGAGTCCAGTTGCTCCAAGAGCTCCTGGCTGTATCACCTCAAAAAGGAGCTCTGTGGATTCTGCTTTGCTCTGTGGATTCTCCTCTTGGTGCACTGTGGGCTCAGGAGRTGCTGAAGCTTTGCTCTCCCTGTCCCCCTGGCATAGCTGTGATACTTCTCTGGTTTTGATTTCATCCTTACATGTTCCTTCTACAACCAAATTAAAGCTGTTTTTTTTAGCATTTACTATTTTGTTGGCTGTTTTKGAAGTCCTTATGCTGTTCAGTGTTTCCCACTGTTGTTTTTTATCTCTGTTCTTGCTGTACTCTGTGTGAGGGGGTGCCTTCTCTGTTAGACCTGTATTTAGAGCTTGATTCTGCACATTACAGAGCTACAGGGCACGACAGATGCTGTGTGAAGTATAAAGAGCTTCTGAGAAAGAAAYGGTTAACTTACACATGTCAGTGCATGCTCAGAGGTGTGTGCTTTTGGACACACCATTGTCTTCAGCTTTCCAGCAGCCTGAAATTGAGAATGTGACTGTATAAATTGCAAAAGATGTATATATTGCTTCATGTCATGTCCTGTTCTGTACTTCTGCAATGTGTAAAGACAGCTGCAAAGATGAAGAAATGTTTGATGAGGGTGATCCTGACTGTTGGAGTTGATTAAGTAGTGGCTATTTGCTTCYTTAGCACTTTGAATCTATACATTCYAYCTAAGCAAACTGGACAATCTGTTKCATATTCTCCCACACAGAGTGCCCAGTAGAATTCAGCTACTCTTCTCTACCAGGTGTGGTTTTTTGTTGTTGCCATAACACACAGCTCTGGAGGGAGAATGYAGGATTGTGTGGCTGCAAAGCTGACTGTGATGGCAGCTTTCCCCAGCATGCCTTCTGTCTGCACAGTGGGAGAACCCACTGAAGAGATGTTTTTTGAAGAGCTGAGGCAGAGAAAAAGAATAATTTCTCCCTGGAGTTCTCCTAGGTATTCCTAATGTTTTTCCTGACTAGAGCTGAGATTTTTAACAAATCAGTGTAAATTTACCAACACTTTTGAGGTTGGTATGTTCAATTCCTGTAAAGTTTTGTAATTGAAGCACCTCACTTAGGTTATCTAGCTCTTCTAAGCTGGTATTCAGTGTTGTCTGAAGTGCACAAGCTGTTTTGTGTGGTGTCACCACGCTTCATGGTGACAGGGTGTTGGATTCATCACAGGCTAAGTGCATATACAGTTTGCTTCACACAGACAGTTTCTGCTCTAAAAATGTGTACTTTTATGGAGAAACCTGTTTACCCAGTGTCTATAGGGAGTTCAGGCACATCCTGAAAAAATGGTTCACGAGGCTTGGTAGTTTGGCACAGCCAGCCTGTCCCATGGAGCTGTATTGGTGAGCAGCACGTTGACTGAGCAGTCTGAAAAGCTTTTTCTGGCATGCATGAATGTGTGCTTCAGCTGGCTCTGCCACCAGTGAGCCCTGTCACCAACCTCCATGGTCCTGGCATCAGGTGCTTWTGCTGGAACCCCAAAGGCAAAGGAAGGGAACTGGCCCCAAAAGGATCCTACAGCCCTGCCAGAGGAACAGGGAGCAGTGGATGGAGCAGATATTCCCACCTCCAAACAGCCTTGGTGGGGCAGGTGGGTTATACTTTAGCCCCTAGAGACTCAAAATTCAGCAGCCAATTCAAAAACTGTTGCCTGCTGCTTGTCAGGCTCTTGAAACAGGATTTGATGAGTCTGTAAACCCTGTTGATCTTCATTTTGTGTGCCAGTGACTTTTGTCCAGGCATTGTCTGGAAGGAGAGCGAGAAGAAATGGAGAGCAGCCTGGAAATGGTATCAAAACCACAGCTTCCAGAGGCCCAGAAGATACACCAGAAAGAAAATACTGTTGATTATTGTTGAACTGATCTCTGGTAAAAGACCTGGATGTTCTTTTCAGTGCTAGTGAAGCCATACTCCCACTTTTTTTAGTTGCAATTCTTCAGTGCATCAGTGCATCAGGCTCTTGATTTTTACATGGTATTTTTATGTTGTGAGTTTTAGTATGAAAAGCTGAAATCTGGCAGCACATGGTGGAGGAATAGTATGTGTTTTTTGTAAGATGGTTTTCCTTTTTCTTTGGGAAAAAAAGGGAAATGTTTTCCTGCTTTCCAATTCTATATATGATATATATTTTTTCTGTAAGTGGTCAGAAAATTTGCATCCACTTGCTCTCAGTTACACATATATTTGTAATCAGCTTTGTTCTCAAACCGAATTGGTTGTTCATGTGTCAAGAGAAAGGAGTCAGATTTGAAGAAATAGCATCCTGTTCTTTCCTRTTGTAGTCACATCAAAAGCTACATTGAGATGAATAGTAAAGTCCAGATCAAGAAGAGATGTTACAATTCCTTCCAGTGCCTGAAGGGAGCCTTCMAGAAAGATGGAGACAGACTTTCTACAAGGGCCTGGAGTGTCRGGACATGGAGGAATGGCTTCAAACTGAAAGACAGTTGATTTATATCAGATATTGGGAAGAAATTCTTCTCCATGAGGGTGGTGAGGCCCTGACACAGGGTGCCCAAAGAAGCTGTGGCTGCCCCATCCCTTGAAGTGTCCAAGGCCAGGTTGGATGAGGCTTGGAGAAACCTGGGATAGTGGAAGGTGTCCCTGCCCATGGCAGGGAGTGCAATGAGACTCAAGGTCATGTCYAACCCAACCCATTCTCTGACTCCATAGTTGTAATGCAGAAAATATGCCTCAGCCTGCCAAAATTCTGGAATGAGTTTAAATTACAAAGAAACTGCATCTGAATTAATGACATCTTCAAAATAAAATGACTGATTAATTTTTAGTTTGTTAGAGAATTTTTGGAGAAAATGGGCCATGTCTTGGGACTTTGCCTGAAAAGAAGCTTTATAGTACTTGGTCTGGACACTGAAATGGTATGTTTTTTCCCTTGGTTGCCTAAGGTGGCATTTCCTGTGCAATGTTCTGATGATCTCAATGGACATCTCATTTCCATTTCCTTCTTCTGTGCCTGCACAGTCTGTTTGACTCCAGAGTTTGTGTCTGGAATGTTTGTTGCTCCCAGCTAAGAACGAGTAACCTGTAATGGGGAGTGATGTGGCTTGTGTTTGTGTGTGAGGTAGAGTTATCTGGAAACAGTGGTTGTGTGTTGAATGCTTCATAACAGCATTCTACTGTCCTTTTTGCT